TGGGGGTGGAGTGGGGAATGGGATCAAAAACGGGGGAGGGGGGAGGGAAATGCACGGGTCTATGGTGATGGCACACAGGTAACTTGGTGATGGGAAACCCGCAGGGATTACAATCGAGATGGAAAAAAAAATGTACAAATGATGTAAAAATAAACTGTTATATAAAAAAAAACTATACATACAGTTTTAGACTAGCTATATAACACTAAAGCTTGCTCTCCCAAGTTAACCAACTGAATTGAGGCATAAAGAGTCAAAACAGGTGGGAAGAATACAAGGGACTATGGTGATTGCACATGGGTGAATTGGTGGTGGGAAGTCCATGGGGATTACAACTGAGATGATAAAATACACAAAATAGAGAATGATGTAAAATATATATATATATAATATATATATATATAAAATAAAACCATCCAGGTCAAGTCACTATGTTTATATTTGTATTTCCTCTCATGAATGATATTTTATTTATGCATACAAGAGTTGGGACACAGGCCAGAGGCGGGGGGTGGAGAAGTGACTGGGGGCGGAGAGGATTCACCAGAGACAGGAGGGAACAGAACAGGCCTATCTACTGAAATACTCTGCTGAGGGGAATAATGGGCCATACAGGAGAGATCTGCTGGCCATGTGGATGGAATATCTCTCTGGCCAGGGATTGAACTTGTGCTGCAGTGGCTGTGGACAGCTTCATAGTGCTGCAATTTACCCCTTGTTCCACCAAGGAGGCCCCGCAAGAAAACAATGTAATCAACATTAACTTCAAATTAAGAATTTTTTCTAAAAGTCTCAGGTTTCTTCTTTTCATAGTTATCCAAAAGGGAGTGGAGGGAGGTCCCAGTTCTCACTTAAGGAACTAGTGGCAAATTAAACAACTAAATTGCTATGGCTTTACTGACGTATGGATGTATGAAGAAGGAAATCATGATCTCAATGGGGATAGCAGTTGAGGGAAGTGCAGGCTAATCAGGTTCTTTAAGAAGGTACTATGGAATAAATATCAAAAGTGATAAAAATGGCTCAAGTCCAGTGATCTCAATCCTTGACATCTAATTTAAGGCATTCTACATTAAAATTGAAAATGGAAAATGTTTATTGAATATTTACTGTAGCAAATATGAACCTATGTATATAAAAGAAGTCAAACAGTTAAGTAAACCATGGTCTGTGAGGTCTTCTGCTGCTGGGAACTAGAGAATCTGGGAACATGGTTTCCTTTCTCCCACATTCCTGCTCACCTACAGGCTTGCTTCTCCTGAGCCACACAGCCACTGGCGCTCATACAGACAACCGAATGCAGGTAGTTCATGGGCTCTGTTGCTGTCCAACTTCACTGTCGTAATATATATATTCATGTCTTGTTTTTTATATATGTACATACAAATAATCTAGAATATGATCAGAACCATTGAAGGAAATAGAAAATTGCTAGTTTTTAATTACTTTCTTCAAAATTATTTAGTTTAAATACACACATACACATACCAGTAAGTATCTAAAGATTTTTAATCCTTATATAAATTGGGTCTTGTTTCTACACTGTAATTAATTTCATTGGAAAAAATGCTTCAGTGCACCTTTATATGGTAAATGGGTTTCTATAAGAAGTCTGTGTGGCTCATTTTTTAAATAATCTGGAGATGACCTGGGGTAGTGGAAAATTTTAAAACTTTGTTTCTACAAAGTAGGTTTCTAGATTCTAATATAATCTATACCCTTTAGTTTCTTCCTAATTGTTCTATAGAGATCTTCAACTTGTCCTGGAAAACTGAAATTAACAATGAATACAATTACCTGCTAGAAAACATAGCTTAGCTTAACTGACCTTACAAGGGCCCACAACACGTAGACCAGCCTGCTTTAGGCCACTCATCTAACACACGCCTGTTCTATAAAGCATTAACAATCTGACACAGATAGATATTTGGTAAACACAATGGGGAAAATACAACACCCCAAAAAGGCTGGCAACACAGCACACAATGGAGTACGGGTTGTTTAAGTCATGGTTGTTGACTGACAGGAGCTGCGGTTCACTGCCCTCGCCCAACTTACAAGAGCATCATGCCACAGGGTGCTAGTCACGGAGATCAGCATCCAAGCTTGGATGTGCTGTTTCTACTGAATGTATTTCTACACCATCATCAGTCAGTAATCGTTAAGAATTAGCCATGTCTCTCAGTTTAAGCATTGTATTCATGATTATTATTAAGATTACTAACTCCTTCACAGTGCAAAGCTCTTTTTTTAAAATTCAAATATACATCACTTATTCCTAACAGCGGACAACAGTGTTTTTAATCATTTTTCTAATTTTACAAAAAAGAGGGGGGTAATTGAAAATATTTCAAACTTCACACCTAAAGGCACAGGCTAGGGAAATGGTTGGACACAGATTTCAACTTTGCTCTCTCCACACCGGCAGTAATATACAAAATATGCACTTGTTTGGTGATGGTTACTTGCCACAAAGATGTGGTTTGTGATTCCAAAAGTGAGTCCAAATAAAATCATCTTTCTGTTTGGTCACAGGTAGGAAGTCACGGAATTGAGGCAGCTTGGGCTGGTGGCAGAAAAGGCCGAGAAGTCATGGACAGACTCTTCCCACTGGCTCCAGATCTCCTTTCACCTGGAGGCTTATTCTACTTAGTTACCATTAAAGAGAACCATCCAGGTAATACAGGCCAGCTTATCTTTTAATCTTTGCTAGAATCAGAAATTCCTAAGGTCAAAGACTAAACAAATCTGGAAAGTTATGAGGTATAAACACATAATAGCTAACACAACATTCACTTTGAAAGGAGAAACAAACATTTAAGGGTAGATTATTCTGGTTTTAAAAGGTAGTTGTCTTGTAGAGGCAGGTTCCTCCTCACCCCCACTTATAAACATTTAATAAAATATAAGTCTAATTTCTTCTTCTAATCCTTCACCCTCTAAATACTGTTAAATTTCTCTCCACCTTCTAGACTCCATGCCCTTGACAACTCTGCTGTTCTTTACTTCTTACAGATTTTTTAAATCTTGGTTTACTTTGTTAACTAAGTTTACCATAATTGTTTGCCTTTTTCTATATACTTCAGATTTGATTTATCTTACACCTAATAGCAGTCCCTCAAATCACATCATGATTACCAAAGTTTTGCAATTTTTTTTGTAATGGTAATGCCATTTTTAGTTCAGTCTCTTTACCATTATTTCTTCACAAAGGGAAGTTTTAACATTTTTTAAATCAATAAATCTGAAGTGTTATTTCATTTACTACCACTGTGTAGTGTCACTATACAGTTAGCCCACTGACATTTTCATCCAAGGTGAAGAGGGAGTATAAGGCAGAGATTGGAGCCAAGCAACTAAAACATGTTGTTTCTATTGAGGCTACTGCTACAAAGCAGGTGATTCAGCCTGATTATTTACAATAGCTAAGATATGGAAGCAACCTAAATGCCCCCAGACAGACAAATGGATCAAAAGCTGTGGTATACATACACAATGGAATACTACTCAGCAATCAAAAACGATAAACTCATGCCATTTGCAGCAACATAGATGGAGCTGGGAGGGATTATGCTAAGCAAAATTTAATTAGAAGGAAAGAGGAGGAGGGGAAAGGGCCAAAAAAGGTGCACGAGGGATTGTGATGATTGTCACGTGGGCACCTCAGTGGCGAAAGAACTGTACTGTGGGGACAACACAAAAGGGGAGAAATCAGATACACAAAACTGAATGATGTAAGAAAAGTCAAACAAAATCGCAGCAGTACCCATCCCTCTGAATTCCAAGTTCATGTTCATAGAAATTTACTTGGTATACATTGTTTTCCCAAATGAACAGAGTTGTAGACTTTATATTAAACTCTTAGTGATCATACACATCTCAGCAGGTATTCTAACTGGATACTGCCTTTTAATTTTCATTTTAGAAGAAATTTTGAAAACAATGAAGACAAAAGGTCTACAAGGGACCACTGCACTTTCCAGGCAAGCTGGTGGAGAAATCCTTTCAGTCCTGAAGTTCACCAAGTCTTAATGTACAGTCTGCTGGATATGCTGAAAATCTAGAGAGTGAATGAAATGTTTTATACTGAATACATGTATATGTAGAAACTGAAAGTATTCTGCATATTTTGAAACTAAGTCATTTCTTAATGAGTACAATTATGAGAAACATGTGGATAAAGGTAGAATCACCAAGAACAGACCTATATTATTTTGTACAGGCAAAGAGTACACACACACACACATACACACACACACACGATATAATTTGCATTTTATAAATGAAGGCACTTATAAAGATTTGTCTCGAATCTTTATAAGTAATAGCAGAACAATGAAGTCAACCTGAATGTCAATCAGTAAAAGATTGGAAAATAAATTATAGTATAGTCATGTTACAGAGCATTAGAACTTACCCAGCCACTAAACATGAGTCAAAGATACCCTGAACCAGAGGGGGTTCATAATGTACTAGTAAGAAAATATATATGTTTTTGAAAAAAATTCATAGCAGGCATGTTTAAATATGTATATAAGAAAGTCTAAGATAAATAATGGGTGGGAATGGAGAAACTTTCACTCTGTTATGATAATATTTATACAATGATAATATATATAATATAAAAGTTTTTTAAAAAATTTAACTTTCATTTTTATTGTCTCCATTTTTCTCTCTTTTACTCTTGATCATGTATTTGTTTCTTTCTTGAAATCACATTACTTTGGATAATGTGGAAGGGTAAGTGCAGTGATGACTGTACATATCGCCTCGTCTCAGAGTAAAAGAGAAGATGCTTGCACTGTTGAGTGCTGGGGTGGCCATAAACAGGCCTCAACAGTACAGACAGTGGGCCTGCGAGCCTGACCAGGGCCATTAGAATACTTGGTTTGTTGTTAGCTGAGTATCTCACCATAGTCGCTCACACAAGAATCTGAGATGCCAGTCTCTACTCTCAGGTGGGAGAGGAGATGTGTTGATGGACATGGTTCTTGAGTACCTGGTGGATCTATTTGAGATATAAGTCATCATTAGTGAAGGAAGCACAGATGGAGGACACAAGAAGAAGTGAAAACAAGAGAACAAGATTATCCGCTTTCACTACTTATATTCAACACTGTAGGCTCTAGCCAGAGCCATTAGGCCCCCAAAATAAATAAATAAATAAAAGGCATTCCAGCTAATTATCTTTTGTCAGTAACACAATCTAGTATATATTGAAAATCCTAAGGAATCCACATACAATTTGTTGATTAGAATTATTAAGTTCAGCAAGGTTGCAAGATAACAGATTATATACAGAAGGAAACCTGATGGCATCACAGGAAGTCCACCACTTTCTCCTTTCACCATCAACTGGTAGGTGCTCTAGAGACAGAAACTGTTTTCTCCAGCTGATGAAGACTCCCATGAACATGGCTTTGCATTTCAGAAGTGTCTGCTCAGCACATTTTGTACACTTCATTACTGACTACATTCTGCATCTTCAAAATGGCAAAAATGATAAAGGTTGAAGTGAACATTAGTGAGGGAAGTGCTAAGTAAACTAAGATAGTAAATCACAGTGATGTAGACTAAAAAAGCTACCTACAAAAGATTTTTTTATAGTAGGATCTTGTTAACTGCTATGAATTGATTATAGATACAAACCCATGTAGTGAAGTATAAAGCCTTACACAGGAGGGATCTCAACTTCAGACAAGTAGGTGACTGTTAGAAAGAGGAGGAGATGGCATCAGGGAGGTATCCAAGAATAACAGTTTATTTCTTTACAAATCAGAAGCAAATATGTCAAAATAGTTTGTGAGCAGTCAAAGGGCATTTATAATATTATTCTCTGTATTTGAAATATTTTGTAATTAAAAAGAATTTTAGTGGGCACAGATGGTGTAACAGCCAAATTATAACATTAATTATTCACACCACAAAAGTCTAACATTAAGTCACAGAAACTTATGTACATACACTGGAGCATGTGATAAGTTAGAAATAAATACTAAAACTTTCAATTTACATTTGGGTTTAAACTAATTACTCTGCTAATGGGCTTTGAACCTCATGCAAATTTTACATGTCTTTATATTGGAATTTTAAGGAATTCTATCTAAAGTAGAGCTACATAAATAAAACTTTAATATACTTTGAATATGTCTTATTTTGGAAAGCATTTTCTTTAGCATATAAACAGTAACAAACTTTACAGTTTATTTACAAGTTTGAAATGTGTTTAGAGACTCGTTTAAAGAGGAGTGTCCCACTTGTAATGTTTCTCAGAGAAACTGATGCCCAAATACTACTGAGAAAACAATGCTCCATTATCCCCTTTACTTTTCTACTTGGGGTTTGGGTCAGATGCCAGGAAGTAAGTACCAATGCTGGAAAAGTTATAACAAAGTCCTATTATAAAACATTTTTAAAGGAAAAATGTAACTTTTGATAGGAGCAGCACAATCCTTTCAGATTACTATGTCAGAGGACATGAGAATATTTTTAAGAAAGGGGTAAAGAAGAGGTAGCAGAATTTCGCTGTCTGCCTTTTCACTTACGGACTCCAGGCTCAAGGCTAGAAGGTAAAAAAATACCACAGAGATAATTCAGGACAAAACTGGGCTAGGACAGCACATTTACAAACACAACTTGAGATCTGTAACTCATCTGTAACGCTTCACTCTAGAGTACCCTGACCACATTCATACTATTTCAATAATAACCATTTACCCAGTTGATGGTAAGCAGTAATTTTATTTAACATGAGTTGCTTTTTACCAATTGTTAAACATTTGCGACAGAGATTAGCCAATTCCTCAAGTAATGCTAGTTACTATAAAATATGCTAGTATTTCCCCAATGAAAGACTGCAACAAAATTATTCCAACTTCCAAACTTCTATACTTTTTTATTTGGAGCACAGTTTTTAAGGGTAAGGGTGGCAAGAGGCAGGTTCTCACCTATTTCAACTTTTGCCTGTTATACTAAGTTTTACATTCCTGGAATTTGGGTGAAAAGCCAGCTTCCCCAAAATCTAAGTTTAGTTAAAATTAGGAAAATTTCTTACAAAATTGACAGCTGCCTGCAACATTTTTAAATGTTTATTTTTTTCCCACCAACCCTAAATTTTACAGATACTAATTTCTTCCCTCTCAATAGAGGTATGATCACCACTCTGCTTCACGAGTGAAATAATCCAAATCCTATTTATCTCAAATTCTTATCCTCTGGAAACTCACTCAAATTGAATAATAAATTCATGGCCAAGTTTGCAATTTAAATTTCACTAATACACACACAAAAGAGGTCAGTGTTGTAAATTTAATTTTCTGAATTTTATAACCCTTGATAAGTAGAGGCACCTTAAAGTTCAGTTTCAGTTTTATACAGGATTTCACAGCATGCTTCAAGTAGTTTAAGCTACAGTAGTAGCTTAGTGTCCCCTTTATCATTAAAATAATCTATAAACATCAGAATACTAATTAATTTTGTTGTCATGACTAATAAATAAATCTTAAAATATCTGTAGATGTACATCACCCTCTCAAATTCATCTGCCTCACTATGGCATTAAAAAGCACAGATCAACAAACTCAATGGGTTTCTCAGTATAATACAGTTGTACAATGCTGTCACAAATTCCAATTCTGTAATTTAGGACTTTTCCATCTTTATTTTTAAATATCCAAAGAGATTATTAATATAAATATTTTTCTTTCAAATATGTAATATTCTTATGTAAAAGAAAAGGTTCCCAAACATTTACAAAGCAATTTAAAGATAAGTAAACCTGATTTTAGAGTCGTTGCATTAACCAAAATAATTTTCCAGAGAAGGTCCTATTTAAATGTAATGCTCACTGGCCTCCTCACACCAATACTTTAAGATGGGTCCAATCCACACCTTTTGCTTGACTTAGTTCAGGAATTACTTCCAATGGAAAAAACAAAAATTCTCAGAAAAAAGTCTCACGACAGAGTGGACAAGTGGATTTGTTGCTAGATGTAAACCATTTGTACTGAAAAACAAAAGGTGATAAATGTTAAAAGAATATATACATCTAAGTAATCTTAAGATGATATAATAAAATAACAGAGGATATGAAATTTTTATTCCTTTCATCTCCAAAATCAACACAATTGAGAATCACGTCAGAGGCTACAGTCTTCCTAGGCTCATGCTGTCAGTGCAATCATCAACACAGTTCTCAATTTCCTTTTACAAATTTTGAAGCAAAAATTTCATGACTTCAATTAACTACAATTAATAGTTTAACACTGTACGTGTCCAAAGCTACATATCATACATATGTACACATAAAATTTAAGTTAATTTCTTTTTAGACTTACCAAACAGGCAGAATGGAATTTTTTCTTGCATGTTCTACAGGCTTTTTTGGGAAGAGAATAGTTGAAACCATGAATGACTGAGAAACAGATCATGCAATCTTCAACACCCTCAAAACGTTTGTCTACATTGTTTTTCCATAATGCTAAGCCTTCCATAATACTTCCATTCTGTTAACAAGGAGGAAAAAATAAAATCAATATGTATACTGAAAACCCTCATGTTATTTTTGTTCAATTTCACTCATTTTAAAGCTGAATTATAATTTAGAGAAAAGAGACCCTGCTTAGCTGTTTTCACATCTCCTTAGCTTTATGGTGTTGGTTTCTAAAATGACTTCCAAGTTCTAAGAACCAGAGCTGATTTTCTCCATGAATAATAAGTGCACCACTACTCTGTTGTACAGCCTCAGCTTCTTTGTTGCAATGTTCTTAAGTCATTTACATCACCTCTCCAAATTTTTAGATAAATGGTGAAATTCATTACCTCACTTTGATGCTGATCTATCCTACCCAGCTCTACAATACTGCAGAATGCCTTTTTTAAAAATAACTTTTCTTTGCTGTAGAATGCCTGAAATACATCACTAAAAAAGACCGATTATTTAAAAGTCAAAAATCTTTGAAAGTACTAGAATTTCTCAAAGCACAGAAGAGTTGGAATGTAAAAGTAGACTGGAAGGGATTCATCTGTCTGGGACCTTTCAGAAGGATGCACTCGCAATTTCCTTAATACCCTGTATTGTCCTATATCATCAACAGTGTTGGTGAAGTCAAGTCAGTTACTCTCAAACTTCATAAATTATAGAGTCCTAAAAAATAAAACAATATTTGCAGGTTCAAGACATTTAGGCATATACCTGTGTGCTTAAGGAAACAGTATTTCTAGTTTAAGCAGAAGAGACACATTTCAAGTTTCACTGCCTTTTAAATAGATCATCAGTGCCTCAGGCTTGGGAAGTCAACTGTGCAGGAAAACACTCACTTGATGGGTGAGGTAAGTGCTTAACTGCAGCATCCAGTTCCGCCACTGCTGCACAGCCACTCCGACCCGCTTCCCACTTTCCACTGTTATGGAGCCCAGTGGGTAATTTGAAGGCAGCTGTATGATCAGTTCGATAACTATATCCTCAATGGTGTAAGTAGCCATTACTTCTCGAGTAGTAGCTCGAGCTTTCACCTGAAACATATGAAAGGTGATTTTTTTTTGTCAAATGTCTTTCATTCAAAAAACTAATACTAATAATCTTGTTAGGTTGACAACTAGCAGCCAGTCTTCTTAAAGGGAAAATTACTTGACACTAAATATTTATTAAATAGGCTTAAATATCTGACATTTTATAATAATTTTAAGACATTCAGTTTGTTTTAAAAGAAATATGCTGCTCATAAAAAAGTATGTTTAACTATATTAGGCTTGTCATATAATAGTTTCTGAATAGACAAATGACAGATTGGGCTATTTATTCCTTCCCTTCCACACCCAGGGTATCAAATCTCATTTCTACTTAGATGTTGCCCAAGTGTTTCTCTGCCACAGAATTATCCTGAGCTTTAGAGCCAACCATCAACTGTCAGAATATTTATACTTGGTTTTGGATTTCACACTGGAATTGCAAACTCAACATGAAACACAAAGGATCATAACTCTTTACTCTTTATTCTTCTAACTTTCCTATGTCCAGGCTAAAACCATAACATTATCTTAAATTTCTCCTTCAACCTCATCCAGATATTAAGCTAAAATAAATCTCCACAAAGTTTCTCACATTCTGACTGATTCTACCTCACGCAGGCCCTTCTCATTGCCTACAACGTCTATACCAGTTTTCCCTAACTCTTCACTGGAACCCAAGTCCCATGCCAACTGCCTATGCTACTTATTGCAATCAGCAATTCCACAGATTCTCACTCTGTAGCACTAGCCCAAAAGAAAATTTCCAGAGGCTAACTGAAACCAACATATTTTAGACCTTTGGTAAGACATTCCCCACTATGGCCCTAATTCACCACTGAAGCAGTTTATTCTCTGACTTCACCTTCAGGAACCCCATTCTTTATGAATACTGGGTAATTGTGTGTAACTCCAGCCCCTAAAATCAGATGAGAAATTGCATTCTCATCTCCATGGCTTTTGTCATACTGTTTTCTCTATATTACATGCCTCTTCTTTCAGTTTCCCCACAAAAAATCCTGCTCACCTCAAAGTACTCATCCTCTGAAAGCCTCACCTTGTCCCTGAAGTTAGATGAACCTTTCCATTGATCACAGAGCACCCTTTCTGTTGAGCTGGTTTCCAATGCAGAAAGCCACCACCAACACATTCTCCCTTTGTTAGTCTGTACAATATAACAGGACAGGAAGCGGACCCACTACACCATCCAATTCCGGGTGCATGGCACAAAGTGCCTGGCATCAGTAGGTACTGTGTTACATTTTCAGTAAACTAATGAATGTTCAAAAACTTGACAGGAGTAAAGGAGATTGTACCATTATTTCAAGCTATGCATTAATACTGAGAGTTGATAACAGAATACAATCAGAAAATAGACACTTTTTGTTAATTCTAATTGAAGGACAACAATTGTGATGATATTACAAATGACAGACATAATATTCAAACCACCTTTCTAGAAAAAAAATGTCAAGAGAATACTAACCGTCATGCCATTAAATAGTTGTGTACTTGTTTGCACAGATGATATTTCTTGAAAAGAAAGAACACTGCTGACGTACTTGCTTGTAAACCTATCTACAATATTGAAAACGCGCTTCTCACTACTATTCCACCACAGCCTGACCATGGCAGGCAAGTCTTTCAGTGTCATATGATAGACAGAACAAGCCAGGTGTGGAATATGGTATGGAAGAGTTGCTGTTTCTGAGGAAAAAAACAAACTTAGTTAGTAACATGTATTTCTTATGTAGAATAATATGCCAATATTAGTACTTTCCTTAGAAAATCACTTTTGACTGCTCAACATATGTATGATCAAAAACTCACAGAACAAACCTAACAAAGAAGCCCAAACTCTGGAGCATTAACTTTCTTCTCCATATTTAAAACTAACCATTAGAAAAGGCAAAAAGAAGTAAAAAAGTGGCAATCCCTAATGGCACTGAATAACTCTCACAGGAACAGTGATCTGTCTCTCACATGAGAGGGTAATAAGTACAATGGAACATATACTTTTAAATGCTAAGAAAAAATGAACCTCTTATAAATGATGGAGGCTGGCCTCCTTATTTCCCGAGTTCATGGATATGATATACAAAAGTCCTACAATAGCCACCTCAAAACACATGAGAGACAGCACAAAATACCATCCTCCAATCTTCAACGTATTAAGGAAAATTCTAATCTTAGGAAATCATTTCTAATGTGCAGTACAGTCAGATGTGTAGTAACTCTAGCCCCTAAAATTTGAGCTCCCAGGATGAGGGAAATTTTACTCGCCTTTCTTTTCCCAATTGAAGACTACTTAGTTCAGGCCTACAAACCTTTATTACATATAACAAATATTGGTTTATAGAGTAAAAGAAAAGCATCCCAAACAACTGAGCTTCAAAAATTTATATTCTTAATATCTTTATCTACAAGATCTAACTATATGTTCTATTTGGAGAAATACTAAATTTCTTACACGTCAACATCCTCTTAGAGCAAGATCCACATCTAGGTAGGGCTTTTCTCCACAGCCACAACATAACACAGAACAAAACTCCTGCTGAACCTAGTCTCCAAGAAAGAACACACATGTCTGACCTCTAATACTCAACTGGAGTTACTGACCTCTAATACTCAACTGGAGTTCTTCTGTGAAGAACGTTTTTGGGTCCTTATTTGAGAGCTCAACAGCTGTCTCTGAATAGGTTGGGTTTTCGGGCATAAGCCTGAACAGGTGATAGAGCAATTTATTCAAGCTCTTTGTTTTCCGAAGGTGCATTGAATAAAGAGCCCGAAGCTGGTGGAGGACAAAGAATTTCTGTCAGTAAACCCAATTAGACAATTAGTTGATTAAAAAAATAAAGAACAGCAAAGCCTATAAGGACACACTAAAAAACAAACAAAACACCACATTTATTTAAGCACGTATAGGAAAGAACTCTCCAAAATATATGCCATGTTCTTTATTTTCCAAAGTGCCGTTGGGTGGCACTGTTCCTTTTCCCATCAACACAAGTTGTTGCCGTCTTCTCATTACTAGACACATGCCTCTGCCACCTTCCTCAAACTGTCTCCCTATTAATACATGTACTTCTACTTGAAGTCTCTGAGTCAAGAAAATCATTCACCATCCCCCACAGATGATTCATTCGCTCTTCCCCAAAGTCTCCCACACATTCTTTCCACATACCACAGTCCTTAATTTTCAAATTCCTGCTTAAACTAATCCCACTTTCATGGCTGATCCACTCTCTATCAAACACTCTAAAACCCTTTTAGCAGAAGGAAGAAATGGGAAGTGAACACAAATGGAAGTTTCTTTTTTTGGGTACTGAAAATGTTCTAAAGTTAAGATAGTAGAGGTAGTTTCACAATTCTGTGAATATGCTAGAACACCAACCTGTAAACTTGAGATACATGTGATGGTGTGTGAAACAGATTTCGGCAAGTAACACATACATGTACAGACATATACAATATTTCAGTTTCTATTAAATCTGATTCATTAGGAGTTTTTTTTTTGAGAAGAAAGTTTAAAAACTCAAGTTTGGGAATGACTAAGGTTTTTCTAAAAAAAAAAAAAAGTTCTGTTCAGAATTCATCTAAATGAGTATTATTTACTGAGTTGTTTTGGTTTTCTGTCCATAGCGCAATTCAAGTTCTAGAAATATATCACCAGCAAATCAAACAAGCATAAGCCACATATCTAAATGGCAGGCCAAAATGAGAGAAAAAGACTTATCATCTGGATTAATGTTGCGTCTGTGATTTGATATCTCCTTTGATAGACAGATGTAAAGATGCTATGTTGATATACAAGTACCAAAGTAATTATTATGAAAAACATAATCTAAAAATTCTGAAAAATCACACTGGAAATGAATACCAGGATGTTTAATCACACTTTCAATAAAAAATGATTAAGTTTTTTCGTATTGACCTGCCAATGAAGCCACATACTTCATTAAAATGACTTAATCTAAGATTGAAAATTTGAAAGAGGGAATTTGCCTAAGGAAATTTAATTAACTGGAATTTTTTCCAGCGTCTTTTCTTAAAGAGTAAGGTCTTTTTTCCTAAACACGAGACCACAGAGACATCTAGTGGCTGCAAGAATGCTTTAAGCAAAATAATCACTAAGATATTTTCTCCATTTTCAAGATAATAGCTTGATTTGCATAATGTTTCACAGATCTAAACCTAAACACTGAGCTTCAAATAAGGCAAACTTCCAATGATGTATTCACTGAAGTCTCCACAGAAGTCCAACAAAGAAAAAAGAAAAGGCCCAGTTTTCCTGAAATTATTGATAATGGCAGTACAAAATTATACTAAATCTTGTTTCCTGTAGTAAGTGGACTTAGTAATTAGATTAGCTTAGGAAATGACAAAGGCATATTACAGTGAATATATAAAATGTGCAAACACATTTGCAAAAATTGTGTGTGTGAAAAAATTGTAAGTAGGCAAGGAAGTAGGAGCAGAAATAAAATTAGCAGAAAGTCTGAAGTTAGCCAGCCAGGAAAAATTAAAATGTCAGGTTATTTCCTCTTTCATTTCAAAAGGGGTTTACAGTAACAGACACACATATAAGTTACGACTGTCAAAAGCTGCCACAGTATGGGTCCTCCTGGGTGGCACAAGGGGTTGAGTATCAGTGCTATGGAACTGTCCACAGTCATTGCAGCACAAGTTTGATCCCTGGCCAAGGAACTGACCCATGTGGAGCAGCAGACCTGTCCTGTCTCATCTGCTGCTCCCCTCAGCAGTGTTTTTCAGTAGATCTGCCTGTTCTGCTCCCCACTCTGCCTCTTGTGAACCATTTTATCCTCCACACCTCTGGCCTGTATCCCAGTTC